GCTAGTGGGTAGAGCAGCAGGGGGCTGGGAGCCAGGACTCCTGGGTTCTCTCCCCAGTTCCCGGAGGGCAGTGGGGGCTAGTGGGTAGAGCAGCAGGGGGCTGGGAGCCAGGACTCCTGGGTTCTCTCCCCAGTTCCCGGAGGGCAGTGGGGGCTAGTGGGTAGAGCAGCAGGGGGCTGGGAGCCAGGACTCCTGGGTTCTCTCCCCAGTTCCCGGAGGGCAGTGGGGGCTAGTGGGTAGAGCAGCAGGGGGCTGGGAGCCAGGACTCCTGGGTTCTCTCCCCAGTTCCCGGAGGGCAGTGGGGGCTAGTGGGTAGAGCAGCAGGGGGCTGGGAGCCAGGACTCCTGGGTTCTCTCCCCAGTTCCCGGAGGGCAGTGGGGGCTAGTGGGTAGAGCAGCAGGGGGCTGGGAGCCAGGACTCCTGGGTTCTCTCCCCAGTTCCCGGAGGGCAGTGGGGGCTAGTGGGTAGAGCAGCAGGGGGCTGGGAGCCAGGACTCCTGGGTTCTCTCCCCAGTTCCCGGAGGGCAGTGGGGGCTAGTGGGTAGAGCAGCAGGGGGCTGGGAGCCAGGACTCCTGGGTTCTCTCCCCAGTTCCCGGAGGGCAGTGGGGGCTAGTGGGTAGAGCAGCAGGGGGCTGGGAGCCAGGACTCCTGGGTTCTCTCCCCAGTTCCCGGAGGGCAGTGGGGGCTAGTGGGTAGAGCAGCAGGGGGCTGGGAGCCAGGACTCCTGGGTTCTCTCCCCAGTTCCCGGAGGGCAGTGGGGGCTAGTGGGTAGAGCAGCAGGGGGCTGGGAGCCAGGACTCCTGGGTTCTCTCCCCAGTTCCCGGAGGGCAGTGGGGGCTAGTGGGTAGAGCAGCAGGGGGCTGGGAGCCAGGACTCCTGGGTTCTCTCCCCAGTTCCCGGAGGGCAGTGGGGGCTAGTGGGTAGAGCAGCAGGGGGCTGGGAGCCAGGACTCCTGGGTTCTCTCCCCAGTTCCCGGAGGGCAGTGGGGGCTAGTGGGTAGAGCAGCAGGGGGCTGGGAGCCAGGACTCCTGGGTTCTCTCCCCAGTTCCCGGAGGGCAGTGGGGGCTAGTGGGTAGAGCAGCAGGGGGCTGGGAGCCAGGACTCCTGGGTTCTCTCCCCAGTTCCCGGAGGGCAGTGGGGGCTAGTGGGTAGAGCAGCAGGGGGCTGGGAGCCAGGACTCCTGGGTTCTCTCCCCAGTTCCCGGAGGGCAGTGGGGGCTAGTGGGTAGAGCAGCAGGGGGCTGGGAGCCAGGACTCCTGGGTTCTCTCCCCAGTTCCCGGAGGGCAGTGGGGGCTAGTGGGTAGAGCAGCAGGGGGCTGGGAGCCAGGACTCCTGGGTTCTCTCCCCAGTTCCCGGAGGGCAGTGGGGGCTAGTGGGTAGAGCAGCAGGGGGCTGGGAGCCAGGACTCCTGGGTTCTCTCCCCAGTTCCCGGAGGGCAGTGGGGGCTAGTGGGTAGAGCAGCAGGGGGCTGGGAGCCAGGACTCCTGGGTTCTCTCCCCAGTTCCCGGAGGGCAGTGGGGGCTAGTGGGTAGAGCAGCAGGGGGCTGGGAGCCAGGACTCCTGGGTTCTCTCCCCAGTTCCCGGAGGGCAGTGGGGGCTAGTGGGTAGAGCAGCAGGGGGCTGGGAGCCAGGACTCCTGGGTTCTCTCCCCAGTTCCCGGAGGGCAGTGGGGGCTAGTGGGTAGAGCAGCAGGGGGCTGGGAGCCAGGACTCCTGGGTTCTCTCCCCGATGGGGGGCAGGGGCTGGAGAAACCGGCACCTTTCAAATGGAAAAGGGGTCCCAGGGCCGAGGGGCAGGAGCTGTGGGGTGAGGGTGAGGGGCACCAGCAGCGCTGGAGGGCAGGGGCTGGGGGTCAGGAGTGAGGGGCACTGGCAGGACTGGGGAGGCCCTGACCTGGGGGGCAGGGGCTGTGGGTCAAGAGTGAGGGGCACTGGCAGGACTGGGGAGGCCCTGACCTGGGGGGCAGGGGCTGAGGGTCAGGAGTGAGGGGCACTGGCAGGACTGGGGAGGCCCTGACCTGGGGGGCAGGGGCTGAGGGTCAGGA